TTTTTTTTTTTTTCTCCCCGGGATTGCTGGAGATGTTGGAATCCTCCCCAGGCAGCGGTCGCAGCTCGCGTTGTGCCTCTGGAGCCCGCGGGGTCCTGCTCCGCCGGTGCATCCCCCTGGATCCGAACGTGCCGAATGTTTGCGGCACCGGGCTGTGTGTGCGGGGGGCTGCACGCCCGCAAATATCGATATATTTGTGTTAATACACCAGGGAATTCACACASCGGTATTAAAGGGAGAGCTCTGCTGGAGAATAATTAACAAGATGCTCACAAGTGCTTATAAAGCAAAATCTGGGCGATGGAGAAAAACTCAGCTCTTCTTCCCCAAAATCTCCACGCACTAGATTTACACCCTGTTATTGCCACCAGCGTTACTGGAGGGGTGGTTTTGAGCCAGACCCAGGCTGGTCAGGACTCCAAGGGGTAAAACAAACCATTTAACTGCTGAGGAAGGGAACCCGCGGGATTTAGGCTGTGCATTCCCCCTGGAAGGGCTGCTGGTGCTCGGTACCTGCCTCACTGCCCACCCACTGGGAACTTTCAGGCTGTGTCTTCCCACTCAGTTGTTTTTTTTTTTCTCTCTCTCTCGATGCATTTTCGTGTCCATCCATGGAAACACATCAYCACCCTCCTCTGGAAGAAAACCTTCCTCTCCCTCTCTTGGAGCTGGAGGGAAGAGATGCAACTGGAGTGGGTGGAAATTTTCCCACTGAAGCATTTCTTTCCAGTAGAAAATGTCTTTTCGAACTACGCCGAGTCCTTTGTGAATGCAAGAACTGTGCTTATTATACATTGGGGGGGTTTTATTGTTTCATTCCCTAAAAATCCCACACTTCAGGTACTGCATTTTTTGGCAACTGCAAACTCCTATTTCTTTTTTTTTATTTTCACGGAGAGAGAAATTGGGTGGAAACCCCCAAACTTTCCAAGAAAAACACCAAAACTGAAGTTGCTTAAATGCATATAAAATTTTTGGCAGGGAACAAAAGAAATTCCAGTCCCCTTCTGTTACTTTCTCAGTAGTTTTAGACAGTTATAGTAGTTTTACATGTTAATTAGTCAATCAATTATTGTCCAGCTATTCCTTTGCAGGGGATTTGGTGGGATGTGGGGACCTGAGGCAAACATCTGTGCAGGCACCAAGGTGTGACACCCCTCTGACCGACGTGGGATTCTGCTCCTCATAAAATAGGGGTTTAAAAATAAAAGCAAATTTAACGGTACCTGGTGAAAAAGAAATTCCTGCCCATCTGCTGAGGGAAGAGAGGAGAACAGGATCTACTGTCAGGATGGTGTGGCTTTAAAATGAGGGTTATTTTGGGGACAGCACCTTTGTGTCTGAGGAASGGGCAGGTTCCACTATAAAATTGCAGCCATGAAGAAAATCTTCTTGTCATCAGCTGATTTAGGTTTCCTGGGGTGTCCCCAGCCTGTCTTGGTGCCCCTGGAGTGGAGGGTTCGCTCAGGTAGGGATATTTTGCTTATTAAAGCATTTAAGGTGGGGTATTTTGGTTATTAAAGGTTTTAAGGTGAGGTATTTCAGTTATTAAGGGGTATAAGGTGGGGTATTTTGGTTATTAAAGGGTTTAAGGTGTGGTATTTTGGTTATTAAAGGGTTTAAGGTGTGGTACTTTGGTTATTGAGGGGTTTAAGGTGCAGTGTTTTGGTAATTAAGGGGTTTAAGATGAGGTATTTCAGTTATTAAGGGGTTTAAGGTGGGGTATTTCGGTTATTAAGGGGTTTAAGGTGGGGTATTTTGGTTATTGAGGGGTTTCAGGTGGGGTATTTCAGTTATTCCAGTTAATCTTCCACCATCCCAGGGTGCTCCAAGCCCTGTCCAGCCTGGCCTTGGACACTTCCAGGGATCCAGGGGCAGCCACAGCTTCTCTGGGCACCTTGTGCCAGGGCCTCCCCACCCTCACAGGGAAGCATTCCTTCCTAAAATCCAACCTAAACATTCTTTCCTTCAGTTTGAATCCCCTGCCCTCCATGCTTTTGTATAAACTCCCTCTCCATCACCTCTGAGATCATCAAGTCCAACCATTAAACTCATGCCTTAACCCCATTCCCAGCGCCTCAGGGAGACAGGGATTTTTCCTGGCTGGAATACTGCAGCCCTGTGTTATAACCACGCTCTCCATTTGATTTTAACTGGTGCTTGGAGGTCTTGACCTGCCAATCCTGATTGCATCCCACTGGGAGAGGCTGGGAGCAGATCATCTCCCTCTCCCGAGCTCTGAGTCATTAACAACAAGGAAAGAAATGATCCAGAGTGTTTCTGGATCAATATCCCAGGAAATAAAGCACGAGGCAAGAAGGGGCTGCAGCAGGGACTCGACACACTCTGCTTCTTTAAGCAGCCACATCCATAATATCTAATAAAAACCTTGGGATCCCTGGGGGATTCAGGCTGAGYGATGGATGCTGGAGGTCCTGAGCTGCCAATATTAAAATATCCTTAGAACTTTGAAGGGGAAGGGAAAAGATAATATCCTAATGCAAAAAAAAATATTGTCTCCAACACGAGGGAATTCCATATTCATCCTCACTCCAGCAGGTGAAGGTGGATTTCTCACTGCACCAGGCTCAGGCTTTCATGGCTTAATTTGTTACATTTATGTGCAAATGAAATAAAGTTCAAAGCCGTTGTAGATGTAAATCTATGTATGTTAAAAGGTCCTGTTTCCCAAATCAGAAAATAATTACAAGTCAGATCAATTTGAAGAAGGACTTTAAATGAAAGAGGTGTTGGAAAGGGAGAAATCTTTAAGAATATTTTACCAAAATTGCAGCAATGCTGACAGGAATCTTTGTTAAAACAACCAACACCACTCAGAAAGGAAGGGATRGAGCTGCCAAGCCTGACACATAAAATATAAACACGCAAAAGGAAGGAAAGGGAAACTGGTTATAATTAATAAACCTCAGAAGCCKGGGAAATCAAAGACAGAAGGACATTTTCCAAGATTTTCAAGCAGAGGAGCTTCACATTAGCAGAGGGGTGATCCTGCACAGAAATAGGAGGTTTATCAGGAACACAGACAAAGCAGGAATGCTCAGTGAGGGATTTGTCCAGGTATTTGGTGGGAAAAAAAGACAACATGCTAAGGAAATACTTTCCAGGAGTGCCCAAGAGCATCCAACTGTTGGGGTTCGGTGTTTGTACACCAGCAGATCCAAAAAGCTCCAGAGAGCTGTCAATGAGGTGGCCAAGGAGCTCTCTGGAGGGTTAAAGTTGGTTTCCAATAGGATTTGGGAAAAGCCAACACCACACCCTCGCTCCAGGGGGTGAGCAGGACACCAGGGCTTGAAGTGTTTAAAGTTGGAAAGTTCCTTGGACAATTTATGGAACCACAAAGGCTGAACTGGGTAATTAAAAGATGGTGGTGTAACGGCAAAAACTGGGAATTAGAGGGGGTAAGGATGGTGAAGAGGAGTCTGAGGGAAACAAACAGGCAGTGGAGAGCTCTGCCCTTCACCTGTGGGGTGAT